CTGGGTTTGATTTGGGTTTAATATTGGTTTGGTTTTGATTGTTTGGTTGTTTATTTTTTGATTTTGTTTGTTCAGAGTTTGATTGTTTTGTAGAAGAAGTAAGTGGAGGAGTTGCTGGTTCATCCATTTCCATTTCTGTTATTTGTGTATTATTAGAGGTTGATGTGAGTGGGAGTAGTGTATTAAGTGGGTTGGTAGTTGTAGTCGATTATATATTCTGTTCTTGTTCTACTTGATGTTGTTGAAGGCAGTCTATGTGGTATGCATCATTGTCTTGGAAGATGGCATCATTTGTAACGTAATGAATATTATTCCTTAAAGGTTTTGCACAGATTGTTAAAAAAAACAGCATAAATTGCATGCGTGAATTTTCCCGTCAAGTTGATACATTCTTTAAAGCACATCTCCATGAACTTGTATTAAAAAGTGATGAAATAAATCAAAATGATCAACAAAATGCTCAAAAAAATGAAATAAAACATCAAATAGAAGATAGAAATATCACTATTCATGATTTTTGGAGAGAGTTTATTATTCTATCTCAGATAAAGAAAAGATATTCAACGGCTTTAAAATCAAAATACAACGTTGATAATGTGTGAGTATCTAAACTCTATTACCAGGTTAAATTAATATAGCATGATTGATTCTTAATTTTTGTTTTAGTCAACTAGAAACGGCATATAAAACTTGGATATGTGAGGGTGAAGCAATTCAAATTTTAGAGAGTGTTTCACTTAGGACATTGAATTCCGAATTTCTTTTGGACATTTTTAACCAAATAATACCTAGTAATAAACAATTGATTGTTCTTTCAATTATTGGGCCTGAAGGTTCTGGAAAATCTACATTATTAAATTACCTATTTCAAACTTCAACAACTTCAACTGGAAGATGGTATGTTAATTGTCTCTTAACTTATTATAAATTGCTTTACATATCTATGTGCTTACAATATACAACATTATATTAATATTTACTACATGTTTGTTTATAGTACCAAAGGCAAGTTCTGACTTTATTTGTACCTGATGTCTCGGTTTTATAAAACATGTAATTTATATTATAATATTTTATAACAGGTGCATACATGTCATATCGGCATACAATATACGAAGGAAAAGAATTGAACTTTTTAGTATTAGATTTTGAGGGAATTTGTTCTGAAGTTGAGAAATTCACCTCTAGACGTGCTGATTTTGACAAAAAAATCACATTATTAGCGATATTATGTTCGCAAATTTTAATTCTAAATACTAAAAGTCTTACACAAGACATTTCAGATATTCTTGAAGTTTCTTTTTATCATATGGATACTTTAATTAAACGAAATTTTAAACCAAAAATCAATTTTGTATTACATGACATGATTGATGCTTTAAGTGTCCAGCAATCCATATTCAATGACATTCGTGAAGGTCTGAAAAAAATGTTTAACGAAATTCCCGGATGTGCTTACAGCATGGAAGATCTTATGATAATGGAAGAGAAAAATATTTATTCGTTAGAAAATATTTTTTCTTGCAATCTTGATGAATTTTATCCAAATTCCCAGCAAAATAGTCATAGTAACGGTGAAAAATTCTATTATCCTGTGGTAAGAATCTTTACATACGTACATATATATGTGTGTGAAATTATGTATCTTATGTATATATCATATATTTACACTAGCATTATTAATATAAATTATGTATATATAGGAAACGTTTCCATCAAATGTATCTAAGCTTAGAGTGGAATTACTTACATCTGCATTGACCTCAAATGAGCATGAACTTCATAACTATAAAAATATAGATGGTAAGAAATATTCGGTTTATTAAGAATTAAAAATAATTTTACAAGATAAAAACATTGATACCAATATATTTATCTATAAGAATTCATTTTATACATGCAATCAATATGGGAAGAAATTAATGCACGTGGAAATTTTCTTCATCTTAAAAACTTCAAAATGATACAACAATGTAACTCAATACGAAAGTTAGTCAGAATTAATGATGAATCATATCTAAAACCTTATAAAGAAGAAATTTTAAATCTAATAGATGAAATCGAATCTGATCAATGGTCCAAAGATGATGACGTTAAATTTGAAACGGCTCTCACTAAAGTAACGGATACATTATGTGAACAAACGATTTCAAATTTCCTTGCAAACTTATCAGATGAGTATGATCCTATGTTAATTGAAGAAGGAAAGACTTATATAACGTCAGCATTTATATCAGAGAAACGTAAACTTCAAGCAATTTATATGATAAAACGTCGAACTCTAAAAGATTCATGGCTTATCAAATCTGCAAAAATAAAGATCAATGAAAATTTAAAACAAGTAATTGATGAAAAAACGTTAGGAAAAGTTAAAAAAAACTTATCTGAATGTGATCATTATTTTAATTCGGAATGGGAATATATAGAAACAGACAAAAATGCTTTTACTTATAGTATGTTATTAGAAACAAAGATACTGGAGGAGCAGGTAGTTACATGTTTCAATAAAGCTATTACTGATGGTGTGAGTATGGTCAGTTCTGAGTATGAATCAAAGAAACAATTTGATAGAATTTTTTGGTCTAAACTCGAGAAACCATCAACTCTAATACGAGCAAAGTTTTTAAAGAATTCAGAATTTTTAAGTAGTTTTAAATTTAAATTCATTGTAGAACAAAATTCAGCTGGGATAACTGGATATATTAATAACGTCAAAAGGGGAATTTTAAAACAAGCCGCCATTAGAACAATTAAGTCATCAATTAAAAAGACTTGTAAGCAAATTTCTAATGACATTCAAAATAATAATATGTTAGCGATTGAATTCAATCAAGCATTAGAATGGATTCAAAGGTTATGCGATAATATATTTATTACACTGCAGAAAGAATTAAATAGTTCTCCAAACAATTTTATTGTTAAAATAGATGATTTTAAACCGATGGAGGTAATTTCTTTTATTAAAACTAATTTTTCATTTTCACTTTACTAATTTTTTTATTTCAATGTATTTTAGCAATATTTACGACTTAAAGTTTTTAAAAGACTGGACGCAAATACTAAAAAAATGGAAAGATACACAACAAAAAGAGCTTGATGAATATAGGAAAAATTTGTGGAAATTTTTTGTTGACTTAAAAAGTGAAACATATTATGAATATTTATCATGCGGTTTTCTTGATCACATTTTTCAATCTTTTGAAAAGCAGCTATATAATCCTTATAATATTGTCTCAGAACTTATGGATAAACATTTTAATTACAATAATTATAAAATCACAAATATCGCATATGAACGAAGCTTTGGATCTCATAACGTGGAAAATAGTCGTAGTTATATTGAAAATCCCATTAAATTTATGAAAAAATTGTTTAATGAAGAGATTGAAATAATTAAAAATATAAAAATAGACGAAAAGATTGAAGAAATAGAAATGAATATTGTTAATACCATGCAGAATGAATTGAAGGAAATAATTTCAAGATGTAAACAACATTATTCTTCTCGATCTACATATGAATCTTCTTATATAAGTCCTAATATTGAACAAATTCTTCGCTTATCAAAGGGAACATTGTTGGAAGCTCTGATAAAGGAAAAACCTCAAGGGTCTGACAATATAATAAAGTGCGTTGTAAAATACCCTACAAGATTTTTGATATGTCTGAAAGAAATGGTTGATATAATGTTTCCAGAGTTTAAAAATAAGTGGAAAGATAAAATTAAAAATCATAGTAAGAATTCAATGATGATTAAAGTTGAAAATTATAGATCATTATATTGTAGTAGAGTTATCGGATGTCAGGAACGGTGTCCATTATGTGGGTAAGTATAAATATTATGATCAAAAATAAGTAAACCAAATTTATATTAATTATACTTTAAATTTGTTAATATAATCAAAAATTTTACAGATCAAAATGTGAACTGGCAGAACATGATTCTGATATATCTCACAAAGCATCGATTCATTTGATGGTTAGCTTTACTGGAGTAAAAAATAGTTTAAATGAGGCAAGTTTGAATATATGCACCGATTCGATATATCAAAATGATATATGTGAAGAATTTAACGGTCATTCGTTTGGAGCATTTATTCAAACAAATTATCCAAAGTGGTGGCCAATTGATCAAACAAATATCAATGAAGACCAATTAAAACAAATTAGAGCCATTTGGGTACAATTAAAAAGTGA